AGGGTCTAAATTTCGACTCGGGAATGCAAAATATTTCTAAACATCACCATAAGTAGTTAGCTCCCCTAAAAGTAAATAAATGAATCATTGGTAACTTTACTCTGAGATTATTTATGTCCATAAGTTATGTTAAGACTTAGTTCAACTTGAATTAATATTACTACGACCTTATTTAAATAAATTTTAAGGCCTTTTTTAAAATGATAATAAATAAATTGTTAAACAGTGTCTAAATTTCCAATGTAGTAGCAGTAATGGTTTGACCTGTTTTAATTTTCGCCTCATTCACTGAAAGAATTTTGGGGAGGCTCCAGGCTTTACATGAGTGCCGCTAGAGCTCGCTACCTCAAGCTCGCAGTTAACCTCAAAAAGGCGAGAATCTACTCCCGAAAGGTAAGCAGCAACTCCTCAGGGGCAGCTGCTCACCTTTCAGGAGTAGATGCTCGCTTTTTTGAGGTGAACTGCGAGACCTGCGCAAGGGGCACTAATTTCGGACATGAAAAGCCAGCAGCCTGCCTAAAATTCTTTCAGTGTTTCTAATAAAATATATACGAATTTTGTTATTAATTTTTTTTCGTCCTCGTACTTAAAGGCGGTGTCAAAGTCGATTGGATTTTTGCATTAAGCTTCAAAATTTTTTTCTTTTTCTGACCAGAATAAATTTTTTAATATTATTTAATTATTTCAAAAGTTTTAATTCAATTATTTTCAAAAATAACAAAATTCTTCAGAAAGATTCAATGATTTTTAGGAATTTAAAAAAAATTTTTTGCTAAATTTCAAGTCGTTTTTATAAATAACGATATTTATCACAAGAATTCAATTATTTTCAAAAGTAATAAAATTCCTCGAAAAAAATCAATTATTTTTACAAATTTTAACGAATATCTTATCAAGAATTCAATTATCTTTAAAAATAGCAAAATTTTTCGCCAAAAATTCAATTATTTTAAAAAATTTAAATAAAATTCTTTGCAAAATTTTAATTATTTTCAATAGTTTTTCGTAATTCAATAATTTTCAATATTTACTATTTTCATAAAATTTAATTATTGGAAAAAATTTTTGATACAATTCTATGAAAACATTTAATTATTTTCATAAACAATAAACTTTTATTCAGGAATTCAATTATTTTCACGGCAAAATTTTAAATAAATTTTTAATACCATTTTAAATAAATTCCTCAAAAAATGCAATTATTCTTAAAAACTTTATTAAAACTTGACGAAAGAATTCAGATTGAAGAAACATTCAATTATTCAATAAAATAATATAATTCGTTGCAATGATTCAATTATTATCATAAATAACAATATATTCATGACAAGAATTCATTTATTTTTAAAAGTGATCAAATTCTTCTTGGAAATTAAATTATTTTAAAAAAATTCTAATCAAATCGTTCGCAAAAATTCAATTCTTTTGATAAGTAATAAAATACTTTGCATAAATGAAATTATTATCAAAAAATTCCTTGTAAAAATTTAATTTTGATTAACATTCAATTATTGATTAAATTATTTTTTTTGTATTTAAATAATTGAATTCTCGTAGAATTTTCTAATAAAAATTGACTTAAAAATGAATTTCGGTTAAAATTTTAGATAATAATTTAATATTATAAGCATTATAGTATGGATTTTTAGAACTAATTGAGTTTTGAAAAGGTTTCAAATTCAAATGTTTGGAAATCTTAATTTTTCGTACTTTTATCTAATAATTGATTTAAAAAACATTTTTAGTTAAAAATTCTACAAAATAATAATTGAATTTAAATGATGAAAATAATTTCGAAGAAGTTAAAGTACTTAACAATATTATTATATAAAATAATAATTTTATCCCTGGGTTATCGTTAATTATTATAAGTTATTAAATTTTAAAATAAGATGTGAATTTAAAATTTTTTTAAATCTTAATTTCAATGAATAAATAATAATGATTAAATAATTATGATATATAAAACAATTGTTTTCGAAGAATTTTACAATTAAAAAAACTCGCAAATAAATGTATTAGAACATTTTTCTCAGTATCTAATTATTTTTAGAGTGAATCAGAATTTTATTTAGTGTCAGGGAAAAAGTCAAAATTCTGTCTAGAAATCAGGGAAAAACAAAGTTAAAATTTTGTGGCAACCCTGGTATTGCGAGTGCCAACCTGCCAATACGAAATTTGCGAAATACCTCATTGGATGTCGTGGTGAGTACGGAAATCAAAGAGTCCCAATGCGGTGCAAGTTTTAAGCTTTAAAAAAAAGAGAAAAATACAAGTTAAAGGAATGAGAAAATAATAATAGTGAGTGTAAAAATGAAATTTTAAGAAAATAAGGTAAGTTGAACTGTCAAATATGAGTCCAATGCGACGTAGGCTGATTTCAATGCAGCGCACAAACGGTAAATAGTGCCAGTCGCCAGTAGAGGGCAGAAGCAAGCAGAGCGAACCGAGCGATTACAGTGGCCCACCTGTCATATGATATACATTACATTACTTTCAAAATTTTCATTTTATAACCGCGTTTCTGCATGAATCTGAACAATGTTTTCGATTATTGTAATTTAAAAGATGCTTACCAATTGTACGTTAGCAGATTTAGTGAAAAGTATCTGTGTTTGGACATAAATGTGTAAGAACATATATTTGTTCTAACAATGTATAAAAAAACACACTTTCCATTAAAAAAAAATTTTAAAGAAAATTTATTCGATACTTTGTTGATATTAAAGAAAAAAATTATATTTTTGATTTTTGAAAAAACTCCACTTTTATTTTGGTTAATTTTGCTTCCTCTCAAAGAAAGCCTTATAGTGATGTCGATTTTCGAATTTCTTAGAATCAATTATTTTTACAAATTTTCAAGTGTAGTATATATATTTCGTCAAGAGGAACAAATGTCCGGATGTGTGTGTATGTATGTCACCGATTCTTGTGAACAAATTTTCTCTTACACTTTTTCACGAATTTTGATAAAAATTTAAAGGTGTATTGCGGTCCGAATACCTAAAATCAGACAGAATTAATTCTTGTCAAAATTATATCCCTGGCATGAAAAAGAATCGATTCATGTATATAAAGTATACATTTTATCAATATTTATAAAATTAATCAATTTTAATTTTTAACAAATAATTCAAATTTTATATTTTTTGAAATTTTATCACAATAACTTTAAAATAATTATTCTATGATAAAAAAAATTAAGCAATTTGAATATATTATATTGATAAAGCTAAATGATCATGAAATTTTGAGCCTCCCAATTCAATAACTCGATCTGCGCTCGGACGATCATATAAAGGCTGTCAGAGCTCCAAAATATGAAAACAATTAAAAATGAAAATAAAATTTTTTTAAAAAACACCTTATAGAGCTTGAAATGCGCAACTTTTTTCTCTTGGGAATTTTTTTGTAAAGTAAATATTGTAGACACTAGAGACAAAAAACAAGAAAATTTTCATTACCCAATTTCATTGATTTTTAAAATATAAATCGTCATAAGTTGGACAAATATTAACGGATTTTTACAAAAATTGGTATGCATGCGTATTAAGGTCTGCTAAAAACGATAAGATGATAAAAATATTAAAAATGACCCTTTGCACCATTTGCACCAAACTTTCTAAAAAACTTCTTTGATTCCTAATGAACAAATTTCTCACTGAAAGTTTATTCAATTCAAAAATTCCGTGCAGACTTTTCGTCGACGAAAAAGGAAACTGTCATTACCATCGCGCATTGATTTATAATAAAATATTATTTAACAAAGGGTCATTTTCAATATTTTTATCATCTTATCATCTTTAGCAGACCTTAATACGCATGCATACCAATTTTTGTAAGAATCCGTTAATATTTGTCCAACTTATGACGATTTATATTTTAAAAATCAATGAAATTGAGTAATGAAAATTTTCTTGTTTTTTGTCTCTAGTGTCTACAATATTTACTTTACAAAAAAATTCCCAAGAGAAAAAAGTTGCGCATTTTCATGCTTTATAAGATAGTGTTTTTAAAAAATTTTTATTTTAACTTTTAATTTTTTCATAATTTGGAGCTCTCGACTGCCTTTATACTGATCGTCCGAGCGCAGATCGAGTAATAAATTGAATTGGGAGGCTCAAATGAACAACTTGGTTTTTTTGGTGGTAGTATATATATGGCGTAGGCGAAAAGGCAAATCCGTTGTTTAGCTTAATTCCTAGGCTTTAAGCTAAACGCGGGCGAATAGAAATATTTATAGTCAAATATTTCAACCGCCAAACTGGATAAACACAATTATTTTAATATAATAAAGCATTTAGTCTTTTCTTTAGGTTACGTTTGCTTGAAATGTACTACACGTTTCTTATGATTTATAAATTTAACTCAAAATTCATATACTTCCGAATAAGGGGGACCTCCGATTTTAATGAAAATTGGTATACCAACGTATTTTGATGCGCTGATTACGAAAATGATAATGAAATTTGGCGCAAATTTCATCTTTATGGTGAAAACCATAAAAAAACCATAAAAATGTGGTTTTTTGCGTATAATTCGTAAAAAACGAAAAATTTTGAACAACTTTTTAAACAAAAGTTATAGATCTCACCAAAATACACATTTTATGTTCTTATTATTATTTGCTAAAATCCATTATTTTCCGAGAAAAATGTAAAAAACCATAAAATACCATAAAAACGGGTTAAAATATACTTTTGCTCAAAAGAACAGCTAATTTTAACAAAATACAGTTTCTTTACGTATTTAGATGCGCTGATCACAAAAATGATAATGAAATTTGGCGCAAATTTCATCTTTATGGTGAAAACCATAAAAAAACCATAAAAATGTGGTTTTTTGCGTATAATTCGTAAAAAACGAAAAATTTTGAACAACTTTTTAAACAAAAGTTATAGATCTCACCAAAATACACATTTTATGTTCTTATTATTATTTGCTAAAATCCATTATTTTCCGAGAAAAATGTAAAAAAACCATAAAATACCATAAAAACGGGTTAAAATATACTTTTGCTCAAAAGAACAGCTAATTTTAACAAAATACAGTTTCTTTACGTATTTAGATGCGCTGATCACAAAAATAATAATGAAAATTGGTGCAAATTTAATGATTATGGTAAAAACCATTATGAAAACCATAAAATTGTGGTTTTTGTGAATAAATCGTAAAAAACGCAAAATTTTGAAAAATAATTTTAACAAAAAAAGGCCGATTGATAAAATGTTACAAAGTGCAACGGTTTTGTGGCCTTGAAAAAGGCCGATTGATGAAATGTTACAAATCGCAACGGTTTTGTGGCCTTGAAAAAGGCCGATTGATGGAATGTTACAAATCGCAACGGTTTCGTGGCCTTGAAAAAGGCCGATTGATGGAATGTTACAAATCGCAACGGTTTCGTGGCCTTGAAAAAGGCCGATTGATTTAAGTGCCATTTTCTTAGTTTTTGTGGCCAGGGTAAGCAATTTTTATGTCCGCAATTAATTGCGAAAAAGGATCGGCATTTAATTTGCGAACCCTTCTCCGCCACAAAAACTCACAAAGGTGGTCTGCAAGATTATGTGATTATGTGATTATGTGATTATGTGATTATGAGATTGTCTCATCCATCTCCAAGAGGATTCAATTTTTTGGGTGTGGGCACCAGTAGTAGAGTTTACAAATTCCTCGGAATGATTCACAGTTTTGTGAACGTAGCCACATTGTTCCAAATCAATGTAGCCCTTCCAACAATCAGTATGGATTTCTGTTCCGACAACAACGTGCTTTTTAATCAAGTTGATTAAAGTAGTTTTGTCTTGTTTGTTGTCGGGACAGATTTCCAGTCGATAGTTGGAAGAATGTCCTCTGTGAATCATTCCGAGGATCCATGAACCCTCTACTACTCGACCTCTCTCAAACTTTCGACGACCGATTTTGCATTCGTCGATCTCGACGATTTCGCCCACACCTCCAATTTGACCCTCTTCTAGGAAGTGTTCATCTAAAGCAATCATGCAGACCTCCCGACAAAAAGAGAATCGATCTGCAATGGTTTCAGAAGAAATATTTTGACCTTCAACAATACTACTCTCACGAATAGTTTGCTGAAAGTCAAAACTCACTGAAAAGCAATACGTCACCATCATACAAGAAGCCGCAGAGATATGGCATTGTTCGAACCACGTGTTCTCTGCGACAGTATGACGATGACGATATTTACCTTTTTTCTCGCAAACGAACTGACCACAAGTGAACGCTGATTCAGTCAAAGTCATATTTTTCTTATGCTTCGAACAAAAGCGTTCACTCGGGATCAGTTCTACATCACGCAACCATTGCAGAGTCGATTCTCTATTTTGTAAAATGACACTTAAAGCGAAAATATTATATTTCCGGTCCATGATATTTTAAACACGATCGTGTCAATGTGCCCAATGGATACTGTGAGGGAGTAATAAAATATACGCGGTTCCTGCGGCTGGATAGTACACCTCGTCCGAGTCCCCTTTCTATATTCACACAGAGAGATAAAGAGAGTACACGAGCTCAATGCGGAATCAAAATAATGAAATGCAGAATTTGAACAGTGGAATGCGGAATTTGAAAAGTGGTTTGCGGAATATGAAAAGTGGAATACGGAATAGGAATAGTAGAATACGGAATCTGAAAGACGAAATGCAGAACGTAAAAAAGTGAAATACCAAATGTCTGGGTTGTGTACCTTCTAGTACCAACTAGAAAGTAAATTTGACTCCCTTTCTGTATGCACAGAGCAAGGGCACACGACCTGAGGCGGGCTTCGCCCGCCTCTCAACTGTTCCCCTCTTGGGCCCTGAAAAAAGGTTTTTTGGGGGGACACGTTGTAGGGGGCTCGGGTCTGGGTTGTGTACCTTCTAGTACCAACTAGGAAGTAAATTTGACTCCCTTTCTGTATGCACAGAGCAAGTGCACACGACCTGAGGCGGGCTTCGCCCGCCTCTCAACTGTTCCCCTCTTGGGCCCTGAAAAAAGGTTTTTTGGGGGGACACGTTGTAGGGGGCTCGGGTCTGGGTTGTGTACCTTCTAGTACCAACTAGAAAGTAAATTTAACTCCCTTTCTGTATGCACAGAGCAAGGGCACACGACCTGAGGCGGGCTTCGCCCGCCTCTCAACTGTTCCCCTCTTGGGCCCTGAAAAAAGGTTTTTAGGGGGGACACGTTGTAGGGGGCTCGGGTCTGGGTTGTGTACCTTCTAGTACCAACTAGGAAGTAAATTTGACTCCCTTTCTGTATGCACAGAGCAAGTGCACACGAACCTGAGGCGGGCTTCGCCCGCCTCTCAACTGTTCCCCTCTTGGGCCCTGAAAAAAGGTTTTTTGGGGGGACACGTTGTAGGGGGCTCGGGTCTGGGTTGTGTACCTTCTAGTACCAACTAGAAAGTAAATTTGACTCCCTTTCTGTATGCACAGAGCAAGGGCACACGACCTGAGGCGGGCTTCGCCCGCCTCTCAGCTGTTCCCCCCTTGGGCCCTGAAAAAAGGTTTTTTGGGGGGGACACGTTGTAGGGGGCTCGGGTCTGGGTTGTGTACCTTCTAGTACCAACTAGGAAGTAAATTTGACTCCCTTTCTGTATGCACAGAGCAAGGGCACACGACCTGAGGCGGGCTTCGCCCGCCTCTCAGCTGTTCCCCCTTAGGCCCTAAAAAAAGGTTTTTTGGGGGGACACGTTGTAGAGGGCTCGGGTCTGGGTTGTATACCTTCTAGTACCAACTAGGAAGTAAATTTGACTCCCTTTCTGTATGCACAGAGCAAGGGCACACGACCTGAGGCGGGCTTCGCCCGCCTCTCAGCTGTTCCCCTCTTGGGCCCTGAAAAAAGGTTTTTTGGGGGGGACACGTTGTAGGGGGCTCGGGTCTGGGTTGTGTACCTTCTAGTACCAACTAGGAAGTAAATTTGACTCCCTTTCTGTTGTAGGGGGCTTGGGTCTGGGTTGTATACCTTCTAGTACCAACTAGGAAGTAAATTTGAATCCCTTTCTGTATGCACAGAGCAAGGGCACACGACCTGAGGCGGGCTTCGCCCGCCTCTCAGCTGTTCCCCTCTTGGGCCCTGAAAAAAGGTTTTTTGGGGGGGACACGTTGTAGGGGGCTCGGGTCTGGGTTGTGTACCTTCTAGTACCAACTAGGAAGTAAATTTGACTCCCTTTCTGTTGTAGGGGGCTTGGGTCTGGGTTGTATACCTTCTAGTACCAACTAGGAAGTAAATTTGACTCCCTTTCTGTATGCACAGAGCAAGGGCACACGACCTGAGGCGGGCTTCGCCCGCCTCTCAGCTCTTCCCCCCTTGGGCCCTGAAAAAAGGTTTTTTGGGGGGGACACGTTGTAGGGGGCTCGGGTCTGGGTTGTGTACCTTCTAGTACCAACTAGGAAGTAAATTTGACTCCCTTTCTGTATGCACAGAGCAAGGGCACACGACCTGAGGCGGGCTTCGCCCGCCTCTCAGCTGTTCCCCCTTAGGCCCTGAAAAAAGGTTTTTTGGGGGGACACGTTGTAGGGGGCTCGGGTCTGGGTTGTGTACCTTCTAGTACCAACTAGAAAGTAAATTTGACTCCCTTTCTGTATGCACAGAGCAAGGGCACACGACCTGAGGCGGGCTTCGCCCGCCTCTCAGCTGTTCCCCCCTTGGGCCCTGAAAAAAGGTTTTTTGGGGGGGACACGTTGTAGGGGGCTCGGGTCTGGGTTGTGTACCTTCTAGTACCAACTAGGAAGTAAATTTGACTCCCTTTCTGTATGCACAGAGCAAGGGCACACGACCTGAGGCGGGCTTCGCCCGCCTCTCAGCTGTTCCCCCTTAGGCCCTAAAAAAAGGTTTTTTGGGGGGACACGTTGTAGAGGGCTCGGGTCTGGGTTGTATACCTTCTAGTACCAACTAGGAAGTAAATTTGACTCCCTTTCTGTATGCACAGAGCAAGGGCACACGACCTGAGGCGGGCTTCGCCCGCCTCTCAGCTGTTCCCCTCTTGGGCCCTGAAAAAAGGTTTTTTGGGGGGGACACGTTGTAGGGGGCTCGGGTCTGGGTTGTGTACCTTCTAGTACCAACTAGGAAGTAAATTTGACTCCCTTTCTGTTGTAGGGGGCTTGGGTCTGGGTTGTATACCTTCTAGTACCAACTAGGAAGTAAATTTGAATCCCTTTCTGTATGCACAGAGCAAGGGCACACGACCTGAGGCGGGCTTCGCCCGCCTCTCAGCTGTTCCCCTCTTGGGCCCTGAAAAAAGGTTTTTTGGGGGGGACACGTTGTAGGGGGCTCGGGTCTGGGTTGTGTACCTTCTAGTACCAACTAGGAAGTAAATTTGACTCCCTTTCTGTTGTAGGGGGCTTGGGTCTGGGTTGTATACCTTCTAGTACCAACTAGGAAGTAAATTTGACTCCCTTTCTGTATGCACAGAGCAAGGGCACACGACCTGAGGCGGGCTTCGCCCGCCTCTCAGCTCTTCCCCCCTTGGGCCCTGAAAAAAGGTTTTTTGGGGGGGACACGTTGTAGGGGGCTCGGGTCTGGGTTGTGTACCTTCTAGTACCAACTAGGAAGTAAATTTGACTCCCTTTCTGTATGCACAGAGCAAGGGCACACGACCTGAGGCGGGCTTCGCCCGCCTCTCAGCTGTTCCCCCTTAGGCCCTGAAAAAAGGTTTTTTGGGGGGACACGTTGTAGGGGGCTCGGGTCTGGGTTGTGTACCTTCTAGTACCAACTAGGAAGTAAATTTGACTCCCTTTCTATATGCACAAAGCGGGACTTCATGAGCTGTGGCGGGCGAAGTCTTGAATTTCCCGTTTTTATGGTATTTTATGGTTTTTTACATTTTTCTCGGAAAATAATGGATTTTAGCAAATAATGATAAGAACATAAAATGTGTATTTTGGTGAGATCTATAACTTTTGTTTAAAAAGTTTTTCAAAATTTTTCGTTTTTTACGAATTATACGCAAAAAACCACAATTTTATGGTTTTTTTTATGGTTTTCACCATAAAGATGAAATTTGCGCCAAATTTCATTATCATTTTCGTAATCAGCGCATCAAAATACGTTGGTATACCAATTTTTATTGAAATTGGAGGTCCCCCTTATTCGGAAGTACACCCAAAATTTTTAGTAAAAATCCTTAATGAGTAACGGAATTCTGACTTTAAACTAAAATCAGTGACTAGTTAAGAAAATTTAATGAAATGTAACTGAAAGTTTGGGAATAGTTTTAAAAAGTATAAAGAGTAACTGAAAATTACGAAACTGTAACAAAATTTTCAGGAAGGAGCAACGGCAATTTCAAGCTGTGACGTGATACAAAAAATTACGAAACTGTAACAAAATTTTCAGAAAACAGCAACGGAAGTTTTATGCTGTTACGCATTACTGAAAATTACGAAACGGTCACAAAATTTTTGGTGAATTGGACTGAATATTTGTTCAGTCCTATGTATCTAAAAATAATGAAACGTTTCTAAATTTTACATAACATGTAACTGCATAAAACTTCCGTTGCTTGTTTCTGAAAAATCCTACAAAAATTTCTAAGTATTTACAGAAACACTTTCCATTTTAAATAAAAGTAATCTGGGCAATTGCGTAAAGCAAAGAGAGACTAAATGTAATTTGGAATATTTTGTAATATTAAATTTAAAAGGTAGTTTCCACTAAGAATATTTAAAAGCAAAGAATATAAATAAAGATTTATAAATAAAAATTCAGAAACGATTTTCAATTAAAAATACCTGCAATTTAATATTTTTAATTGAAATTTCATTACAATGTTTATTATTCATTAATCAATACCAATTTTTCTATTCACCTGGCGCTCTTTAGGCGTTTAGCTTAATGCCTAGGCATCAAGCTAAATGACTAAAGAATTCAGGCGATTAAAAGAATAATTGACTTGAACATTTTCCTATTCGCCCGCGTTTAGCTTAAAGCCTAGGAATTAAGCTAAACGACGGATTTTTTTTTCGCCTACGATATATACACTTACCTCTAAGTGCTCTGTGACACTCAAAAAGGGGTCTGCATAACTTTCCGAGAAATAAATAAAAAATGTTCAATGCTGTGGGTCACATTTCTAGCTTTACATGAAACAAACGAGCATCTGTAGCAAGATCTTTGAATTAAGCAAAATTCTCATTATATAAAACTAAAAATTTGAGCATTTTTATTTATTTCTCGGAAAGTTATGCAGATCCCATTTGAAAATCACAGAGCACATAGAGGTGAGTATAAACTACCACCACAAAAAATTAACCTACAAATAAAAGTGGAGTTTTTTCAAAAATCGAAAATAAAATTTTTTTTCTTTAATATCAACAAAGTATCGAATAAATTTTCTTTCAATTTTTTTTAGTGAAGAGTGTGCCTTTTTATTCTACGTTGGCAGATTTAGTGAAAAGTGTCTATGTTTGGAGATAAATGTGTTAGAATAAAATTTTTGTTTACCTATTTCACGTCATTTAAACCAGTTAGTGTTGCTTTTGTTGCGCTGCATGGAAACCAGCCTACGCCTCCTTGGACTCATATTTGACAGTTGAACTTACCTTATTTTCCTAAACTGACCTTATCTTCTTGCACTCGCAATACGGAATCCCGTACCTCCCAATACATTTTTTACAGGGATGTTCTGTGCATCTTACAGAACAATTAATCTGGTTCGTCTGAAATCAAAAATTGAAACTGATTTACATTTATTGAAAGATTATCTAGTATTTAATCGAAGGATTTAAAAACATAATTTGACAAAATGGCGACCTGTGAAAGTTGAACGTTCGATTTTCGTAAAAAGTGGTTGTTTTTCAGCTGTAAAAAGAAAAGTTTTGCATAAAAAATCAATCCTTTGATTAAAGACTAGATTATTATGTATTGAAAAGGCATGTTAAATGTCAAGACAATCGGTTCAGTAGTTTTCGAGTAAGAGTGGTCACCGACTTCAAAAATATAGTTTTGAGAAAAACATGTTTAAAGTTTCAACTTACTTTTACACACACAAAAAATCTGGGTTCATTTTTGTTGTGTTTCAAATTGAGTAGCATAGGCTCTACCCAATTTGAAACTAGGATTTTTCAGTGCATGAAGATGAAATTTTTTTTTAAAAATCAGATCGAGTCATCAATTTTAAGGCCATATATTATAGTTATTCCGCAGATGAAGCTGCTTCCAAAATCCCAATCCGTTTCAATTTTTGTTTTCAGACGAACCAGATTTCCATAGTGTTGATGGTCACCGCAAACCATGTTTTGCGGAAGGACGTCACTTCGACGGGTCATAACTTGGGAACTACTTAATATTTTTAATTTTTTTAAATTCAAATTTAAATGATGTACTTTTAGATAATCCTTGTTATTTTTCAATTTCTTTGCAGACGAGCGGAATGATATTTCTTCACTTTCAGCAGTCTTCGGGTTAAAAACGTTTTTCCGCTTTGTAGGACGCGATTTTCGAAAATAATTATTTTCTCTAAGGTCTCGCGAACCTTTGTCACGCGAACCCATATTTATATATAAATATAAAAAATATACATAAAATTAAAAAAAATTTTAAGGTTAAAAATCTCACAAGATAGGCACATTCATTTACATTCAGCCTGTATATCTACTCGGCATTAATATTTTAATTTACAGTATCAAATAGATATTTGTAGCAAATTCGAATTACTTAAGTCAAATGATTGGAATAATTGGATCTAATAAATATTGCTTTAAATAAGTTATGAACTTATGAAAATTACTTCATTCAATAATGCATGGCTATGCATATAAATATTTATTTGCATCAAAAAAATAATTTTTTTGAAGTCACTAAATATTTATTTGTATCAAATATTCAATTATTCATCATAATTATTTATTTCAATTAAGACTAATATCCCTTTAATTTCTTCAAATAATTAATTATTTAGTCCAAATACAAAATTTATTTGCATCAAAACAAAGCAGTTGTGGATTCAAATAAATCTCAATTTATATTAAATAAATAAATCTTTTTCTATTTCCATACGTAAAAGAATTATAAAAATAATAAAAAAATCAAATTTTGCACTATCGATTCTACCTTCTAAGGACTTAAGCTTGCGGAGGTTTATTAGCACTAAATTCTTACAATTAAATTAAAATCTAAATCCTACGGGTATCGAAACACAGATGTACCTACCCAACTTAAGATTTATAACCAAAGAGCCCTAACGACATCGACAAATGAACCGACTTGGAAAATTATATTCGATAAACGTCTATATAAATTGCAAATGTAAAAATTTTAAGATTTATATACTATTCTTTCTTATTATTTTTATTAAATTATTCAGAATTATTAAGAATCTTTCTAAAATTATTATATTTAATATATTTAACAGATATTTATTATTTAGATAATAGATTTTTATAATGTTAAAATAAAATTATTTAAAATTAAGGGAGGAGTCTGGTCAAACCGAGGGTTTTTACAACGCGTTTTTTCTAATGATATTATATATTTTTATTAACTAAAATTGTTTTTACATAAAAGGGAGCATATTGAGAAGAAAATTAAAAAAAATTAATTTCATTGGAGTCCATAAAAATCGTCTAAAACATAAATTCCAAGAATGTTTGGTTAAAATATGATCGTAAAATAAAGATGAACCTCAATTTGCAAAAAAAAATTTTTGCAAATAAAGAAAAATAAAAAAGTGATGCAAAATTTTGTTAATATTTTGCTCTAACTTTTTTTATAATTAAAATTCATAAATATTCAAGGTTCATCTGCATAAATTTAATTACCTTTAATTTAAGCTTTGGACGAAGTAAATCGGTTGAAAATTGGATGAGCTATGAATTCCGCCAATTTGAAAAACATAGTTTCGAAAAAAAACGTTTAAAGTTTTCGGATGCTTTGGTATACACGTACATGATGCGCTCCACTTATAACAATATTTAACTATATTTCCAGTTCGAATTTGTTAAAACAATTACAGGAGAGCATTCTAGACATGTTTAGGAATATTTCTAAGCAAAAAAATAGATCTTTTTTAACCCATTTGACCAGACTCTCCCCTTAATTGTGACAAATAATTTGTATTTATAACTAACATCCATTTGTTTGAATGAAGTAAATAAATTAATAGTTTCAAATAACTCATTTATTATCGTTTCGATAAGTGATTAATTTGATCAAAATGTTTGTTTTATTTGTTTTTATTAAATATTTTATTATAGCATTAAATAATGCATTATTTGCATTAAATAATTTAGTTTACTTGTAGTCATAAATTGAATTAATTTTTGCGCTAAATAATTTTTATTAATATCAAATATACAATTAGTTGAGTAACTAAAATAAATAAATTAATTGTTTAAAATAACTCATTATTTGTGTTAAACAAATTCATTTATTCGAAATAAAATAAGGATTTTTTTGTTTCAAATATAATTCAAGTTATTTGAAGCAAATAAATATTTTTCAAATAATTTGAATTAATTGAATCAATTAATTCAAAAGAATTCACTTCATTTTAAGAACTTTCTGACTGTGGTGCCGACGAAATAATATATGTGTGTGTTTCTTAGACAGAATAAAAGTTTCAAAATGTGGTTAAAATTATTAAGCGATTGTAAAAAGCTGAAAATGTGATATTCAAAAATGCGGGTTTTACCAGAACCGATCGCTTCTGCTTAACGTACTTTTTTAGAATGTTGAATATCTTTATGAACAAAATACTATTATTGTTATTTTTTATTGTGTTAATGAAACGTTTATTTTGAAAATAGCAACTTTATATCATTCTTGGAAGTATATAGATAGATTTTTTTCTTACATATTTGGCTGCTAGAGCATTTTCTACTCAAACTGTAATTTTTTCATTTCTTCTATGACTTGGTATTGATATTTCTCGGTTTTACAATTTAATGCTCATAATATTAAAGTATGAGAAGTGTAAAAAAATTTCCAAAAAGACATGTAATATTTTATGATTTTA